AATAAATAAGTTATCGAGTGGCTTTCAATGTTATTTAAAATAACATTGAAAGCCACTCAACTAAGTGGAAATAATATGACGTAAAGAATACAGAGAATAATTTTGTTTACATATTTATGAAAATAAAATGACAAATTATAAAATAACATAAAATACATAAAAGTAAATTTAGTTTTCTGTGAATGTTTAGGCCAGCAGAGAAGGCCTTGCTGGCCCTAAGGGTCCGCCACTGAACATTGAAAGCCACTCAACTAAGTGGAAATAATATGACGTAAAGAATACAGAGAATAATTTTGTTTACATATTTATGAAAATAAAATAAATTATAAAATAACAAAATACATAAAAGTAAATTTACTTTTCTGAGAATGTTTAGGCCAGCAGAGAAGGCCTTGCTGGCCCTGAGGGTCCGCCACTGGTAACATGGGATATTTACACAGAAAGATGATACAATAATTCATTACCACGCACCTGCGTATGGCCAGTTTGACCTCCCTAAAAATCTTTTTTCTTTTGTTTTCATGTATTCCCCAATTTGCTGGTATCAATGCTCAAAAGTGAAGCGTTAGCTGCATTTTTAACGATATCCATACTGAAACTGTGCCATGGCAAGAACTTAAAAAAACAACAACGATTGTGATTGATTGTGTTCAGAGACTTATTTATTTTTTTCGTGCAGGGAGAAATTCTCTTACATTGCGAACATTTTCAGCTGTCATAATTTTCGCTGTTGACCAAGAATTATGATGATCCGCAAGTGGGTTTTGTCCTGACACGGCATAGGTGTGGAAGAAGAAAACAACCGTAAATCAAGAAAGAATATAACATATCTAATGTTATGTTCTGTATAAAAATGGTCTCCCCAGAGGGCATGAAGTATTTTACAATTCAACTCTTTTGCTCACAATTTCTTTTCACAATACCCTCACCTTAGACACAGTAGATCAACATTGGGAGATGATCAGCACATATTCGAGACTTTTTTTCTTTTTCTTCTTGTGATGTCGCATGAGAGGGCTCGGTCTCACAGGGAGCGGCCACAGCTCCGACATACAGTACATCCCGAGGTGCTATATCTAGTTGCAAGAGGGCTTGGTTTCACATCAGGCTGCACCTCACTCATGCATGGACCATATTTTGGGGCTATTGCCACTTCCTAATGTAAGACCAAGCCCTCTGAGAATTGGAACACCCCAATGTTCCTGTGAACACGCACAATCGAGGCACAAGGAGTGAAAATGGTCAGTAAAATCCATAAGATAAGAAAACCTTTATTAGTCTCACAATGGAGAAATTCCCAATTCACAGCAACAAAGTTATGAGAGGAAGAAGTAGAAGAACAAAATATAGGGCTGCTGTAAAGGCAGCCACTGTCGCGGCGCCATCTTGAAGTCAAAATAACAAAATAATACAACACAACACATGAGACACAGACAGTCATTCAATCTTAACCACTTTTCTGCATCTTTTTTGTTATATGAAGCAGTTACAGATGAAAGAGGAGAGCTTTACTGTCAGGAAAGTACGATAGATGTTAATGTTTGGGCTTGACATTGTTTCTTTTCTTCTGAAAACCACCTATAAACAATGTCAACTAAAAAGAGAAATTTAAAGATTACATGAAAGAAAACATTTTTGCCAGGCGATACAATATATCTTGATCACCAGAGAAAAAAATAGCACGGTTTCCATATGTCCAGTATATGGGCTTTATTATTGAAAGAGACAAATTCCTCCCATTTTAACGATTGTCTTGTGCTAACCTAAGGAAATTCACTCTTGGCGTTCCATAGCTCTCAACACCTCTACCACCTAGGCAACTCAAATACAATTTTCAGACATCAAGAAAGAGTGAAAAAAAAACAAAAAAACAAACCTGTTCTCAACTTTCCCCACCATTTCTTCTGGACTAGAAGTACACACCTCTGTAACGGTTTTTCTGACAACCATGTTTCACCCCGCTAATATTGCTGACATGTCACATGTCCAAAGACCACTTCTACGTATTTCATTTTTCAAATTTTTAGGTACTCTCATGACTCCAAACTACATTGGCAATGACTCTGCTGATGTATCACTGTCATGCAACTGTCAAGGGAGTGGTAACCAGTGGCAAGAATGTCTGAGATTGCAACATCTGTTCACTGACAACACCTGCCTGCGTAAGTCTGATTTCACTACAGTGTGAGGATGCTCGTCGTGTGGTCAGCAGGGATCTATTGGGACAAAAATTTGGCCTGGGAATGTTCTTTGTTGGCCGGTGGTGGGGGTAGTTTCGGATTGCAGCCGTCACATGCCGAAAATTCTATGTTGTTTTGAGGGTCTTGTGGGGGGCATGTGGTGGATTTCACACTACTAAATTAAATTGGTGACTGTGGATGGCGAGTTGACCGGCTAGGAAATTGAATTTCAGGAAAATTACTTTTTTCCTGAAATTCCCAATGGCCAGCACCACCCTGATGGTCAGTGTATGTAATCCATACATGCACACGCGTACATACAGTACACAGAAGTGATGTTTCCTGTTTCCTTGCAGGTAACGCAATTAGTTGGATCGGGAGCGCTGACTACCCGCCTGTAGACGAAATCCCTCCTGCTGCTCCTAGACCCTCCACACTGATTCAGGACCATGAACGGCTGACCAACAGCCACTTACTAGACCATGACATTGTGAGTGGAGTTTTATTTAACTTTTCTATTAATTAATTAATTAACATTTTTATTACCTGAACTATATGATTGGTAAAACATGTGTACATGCATAATGTCCATACTAACGGAATGTCTGCCAGACCATCACTGATTTTTTGACAAATGCTGAATTACAAAAGCCCTTTAAAAATTACGGACAATGTACGGATGGAAGCGGGTTAGCGTCCTTCAGTGTAATCATCACTAACTGGGTCAAGTAACACTGGACCACTCCGTCATTGACGGATGCCTGTTTCGATGACGACTGACGGAAACATGCACAGTGTGTCTCCTGCATGTTTGTTGGTGGGTTGAATATGGCCATTCAATGCCAAATAACAGAAGAAAACTGTAAAATGTCACCAAGCAGATTTTTTTTGTACTTGTTGATGAGGGCACAACACAAAATCTCAAAATTTTGATCAACCGGAGAAGGGGTTTAGGAGCAACGAATTTTAATTTGCTCGGCAGAAAGTAGTGTGGCCGCGAATTCAAATCTTATTCAGAAGATCAGTGCATATTTTAGTAAATTGACCTTTTGACACAGAATTTGACCTTAAATTTGATCTTGTGGAATATGTGACCTTAACATTTGCTATCCATCTATCCATTCATCCATTATCTATTGCTTATCCTGTATCTGGTTGTGGGGGCAATAGCTTTAGCAGGGAAGCCCAGACTCCCCTCTCCCCATCCAATTCTTCCAGGGCGGATCCCAAGGCATTCCCAGGCCAGCCAGGAAACATACTATCTCCACCATGTCCTGGGTTGACATGCACCTCATCTGGTTACTCTCGTCTGAAAGTTATTTTCCATCAACTCCTCCCACGCCCCAGTTTTTGCCTTGGCGACCGAATAAGCTGCCTTCCCCATGGCCAGCTGATACCCGTCGACTGCTTTCAGAATCACACAGGCCAAAAAGACCTGACAGGATTCCTTCAGCTTCACGGCATCCCTGACCACTGGTGTCCACCAGCAGGTTCGGGGGTTGCGGCCATGACGGGCACTAACCACCATATGGCCACAACTCCAATCGAGCGTGAGAAGGAAATTTTACATAACCGTTTTATCAAATGTAATGTTCCAATCATTTATTCTATACATGTCTAGACAACTACATATATATTCATATACAGTCTTATATACAGTACTCTTATATATTCTGTGTTGTTACACTCATCTTACCCTAGTTTAGAAAATAGCATACTAACCACAATTCCAGGAATGCACACCAGGTCAGGGCAACCTGGCAGCCCAGCTTAAAATACACATAAAAGCAAGGGTCAGAGGGGCGAGGAGTAAACAAGTATGTTTGAATGAAACAAGGGTTGAAGTCCCCATACATGTCATATTGATTCTTGTATTGATTGTGCTGTTGTAATTCGTGTGACTCTTAATAAAAGGAACAATTAGAGGCATGGAACATGGTCCGGTTGGACTCAAAGTCCAAAATTCGGTGGGCCGTAGCTCCCAAACCCCTGCTCTAATTAATCTAAAATTTGAGTGTTGGTGTTGTAGCATCACTGTCAATAAATACAGCAAATTTCATTAAAATCAAAATCTGCTTGGAAAAACCCCAGGGAGTGATATGGGATGGAATGACCCAATAAACGGGCCCAGAAATACCTGCAATAAGTTAAATCCATGAATATATAGTATAAGATAGCTTTTAGAAAAAACATTTTCATACAGACAGACAGACAGACATACTGACTGACACATTGACTGGTTAGCATGTCTGCCTCACAGTGCAGAGGTGCAGGGTTCGATTCCAGGCCCCGCCCTTCCTGTGTGGTGTTCTTCTCGTGCCTGCATGGGGTTTATTCTGGATGGATGGATACATACATACATACATACATACATACATACATACATACATACATACATAGCATACCATAAATATCATATATACCAGACATAACATATACAGTACTGTACATCCCGGGACGGGGTATACCACAACAGACAGGACCCCAGGGCGGCATCGCTCAGTGGTAGAGTGGTCGTCTCCCAACCCAGAGGTTGTGGGTTTGATCCCTTGCCATTGCGACCATGTTAAAGTGTCCTTAAGCAGGATACTGAACCCCCAGTTGCTCCTTACGCTGGGTCATCAGTCGGTAAATGAAGTAACAGTGTGAAGCGCTTGGAGTACCAAAGGTCGAAAGTGACACCCCATTTTACCATCATCACAAAGAAGCCCCTGTGCCAGTGCAGCATATCATAGCCCTTTGTAACATACTGGCAGTCAAGGCATTTTGTACATAGAGCAAATGGTGAATGGGAAATGGGCTGTCACTTACGTATATAGTGCTTTTTTTTCTACCTTTGGCAGCATAAACAAGTAGCAGAAATATTGGACCGGAAAATCTGTACTAAATATGGCTTTTAGGTCTCAAAATCAAGATGGAAAACACCACCGAAAGTGGTTTTGAACAACCAGGCCAAAATCAAACAATCCCAGACCATCAATATAAGGACGAAAAAGACTCCACGGTGAAAATTACAAAGACTTGAAGAGCAGCGTTTTTTATTTATTTATTTATTTATTTTTTAATTTCACTGTGCTCTGGGCATGCAGAATGAAATTGTTATCTGCAGTCACGTGAAAAGTGAACGATGGCCACACCTCTGCCCTTATCATTTTGATGTAGCACAATAACATATGAATCTGCTCTCTAATTTTTTGTTCTCTCAGATGCTTCCTCTTTTTCTGGTTGCATTTTGTTCTTTCACTTTTGTTTTTTGAAGAAACAATAGATATTTTAGTAATGATAATAAACAATAATAATAATGATGTGTTATTTTATCAGATTTAGAGTGTAAGAGTCATGTGATGATTGTGTTAAGTACCTGGTTAAGTACCTGGGAAATTAAACCTATTAAAATGGTTTGTGTTGTCTCTTTCTTGTCAGGCGGAGGAACATGAGGACGAGGAGAAATCCAAACAAATTCAGTCAACTGATGAAGGTGGACGATTTGATGTCATCCCAAAGCACTCAGAGAGGGCCATTGTCACCAACCCGGGACCCGCTGTAGCTGGGGGTGCTGTATACGTTGTTGCTGTCCCTCTTGAACTGCAATTTACTCTTTTTCTGCTTATTTATGGTATTTATGGTGCACTTAGTTTGGAATAGAGCATCTGATGAAAATGTGTTGAGAGCGCAAGGGTGCGACACGTGTTTCGCCAGATGTGCATGGGACGAAAGTATATATATATATGTTGTTGTATATACGAAAGTATATATATATATATATAAAACCCCTAACCGCCAGTTAATTTCTAAACCCACTGTGAGTGAAATATGCATTGTTCTTTTTTCGAAACATAGCTAGAGACGTTGTTAGTTTACAGCGCCGTCAAAGTTAACCGCGTGGTTAACGTCACTGGTGAGTACAAATATATTCCACAATTTGTTTACTTTTGGTTTTGCGAAAAAAATTGGATCGCCACTTTTTTTCCCTGATTTTTTTTTTCCTGTGTTGTCCTCAGGGAAAAAAAACAGGAATATTTCTACTGATGAGGAAAACTTTAATCAATGTTTGAAGCCAGGGTGCGTGCTCCTCATTTGCCTCTTCACCCATGATGAGTTGAAACAGAGAGTTGTGTGGTAAAAAGTATACAGCCTCTTCGGTAAAGAACGAAATATATGCCCATCAAAATTGCCCCGTGGGAACCCTCCTTAAAAGCCATGGCAGCAAAGCTTTCCCCCCATTGCCCCCAATACCTTGCCAAAAAAAAAAGTTGGCCAGGGCCACAGAGGGACAATGTTCCAAAACACGAAAATGCTGAAGACCATTGAAGGGTGCATTTTTTGTACCGGACTGAATTTTGTTTCATGTGTCATCAGCACACATTTACCCCTGAAAAGATCAGCCCTGACATAACAATGTAACATAATCCAAAATGCACAGTGATTGACGTCAGAGAAATCAACGTTGGCCACAAAACACCATCGAGAGGTAATATGTATTTTGAGAGTTAACCATACTGTTAAAAAGTTAGGTTAGGGTGATCCATAGGTGAGTTAATTTTAATGTAAAGTTAAACAGTCGGTTAATGTGAACCGAGTTTTGAACAAGATAACTAGGCCACTTCACCAGTGGTTAACAAAAAGGTTTTGAACAACCGGGCCCTGCTGGATTCATAAATATACAGTTCAAAAGAACTGACTTCTTCTTTGTTTCAATCCATCCATCCATCCATCCATTTTCCGATCCGTTTCATCCCCACAAAGGTCACGGGGGGTGCTGGAGCCTATCCCAGATGTCTTTGGGCAGTAGGCGGGGGACACCCTGAACTGGTTGCCAGCCAATCGCAGGGCACACAGAGATAAACAACCATTCGCGCTCACACTCACACCTAGCGACAATTTAAAGTGTTCCATTAGCCTGCCACGCATGTTTTTGGAATATGGGAGGGCACCGGAGTACCCCAAGGAAACCCACGCAGGCACGGGGAGAACATGCAAACTCCACACAGGAAGGCCGGAACCGGAATCGAACCCTGCACCATGGCACTGTGCACCTTGGCATGTCCGTCCTAACCAGTCGGTCTTTTATTCCCAGTCTCCATATAAATTCCAAAACAGCTGTTGGTCCAACATGACTCACTGTGCTGAGTGCCTCTGTATCATCCCTCTCAGATGGAATCATCCCATGCTCTCCTAAACTCACATAACTCCCACAATATTCATTGGGCTTGAGAAATACAGTTCACATAATCGGGCAACAACTACACTAATGTAAACACTTTTTTTGAAAAACATTTTTGAAGAGCTGTTGTGTGTGTCTAATTCTCACTTTGTCCCAATGTAATTACCGTAACCGGTAAGTTTGCGTTGGGCAAACATAATGTTGCTATGCCTGTAACAATAAAATGTAAATATTTGGGCACTTAAGAAAAGGAGTAGTGGTTCAAGGTCTTTTCAATTATTAAATCTCAAATCTTGGAATGTGAAGCTGAATTTAAAAATGTTCAATGTAAACATTTGTTCTGTGGTTTCCTGACATAGCAAATGTATTTGTAAGCAGAGAATAAATGTCAAGTCAGCTGTTGGCAACACAAATAAACCCGATTGCAAATACATTCGTTGGTGTACAATCTGAGTGTCAACTTTATAACCCCAAAAGCAATTCAGTCAAGCATATTTGGTGTCTGAGCTTGTACCGGCCATACTCGTCATGAAATATAATTACAAAAATGGCTACAAATTTTATTCTTATGATGGTGACTGTTGGGCTCAAGTCCTTACTGCAAACTTGCAGATATTGTCAACAGCATGTCTTGTTCCGCTTGCCTTCATGTCCTGAGCAGCGGTTTTGTTTTGGGTTTTTTTTGGTGTGTGTGTGTGTGTGTGTGTGTGTGTGTGTGTGTGTGTGTGTGTGTGCGCGCGCGCGTGCGTGTGCATGCACATGCGTGTGCGTGTGTGTATGTATGTGTGTGTGTGTGTGTGTGTGTGTGTGTGTGTTTCGTTGTCATTCATGTTAATATCAATACACAAATGCAAATTTGATATCCATGATGAAAGTAATATCCATTTTGTCTCATTGTGACCTCAAATTTTACATTTTATTTTCCTCAGATGGCAGCATGACAAATTGTATTTACCCCCTCCAATCTCAGCTGTGTTTTTAAATGGTTAGAACTTTAATTATCACGTTGGGCCGTCTATCGCGCATTAAATTGATCTGAAATATCTGGAAGTGGTCCTACAAGCAAAATAAATTGTTGGAAACTGTTAAGGAATTTATTGCTCACTGCGAGTTTTTTGCCCCACACTATTAGTTGGACCTGTTCAAACGCTTTAAAGAAAGAATGTGGTATGCACCTGAAGGTATGGCCTGCCTACTGTGAATACAATCACTGTTTAGTGCCCCTTGCCCCCACCATTTTTAGGGCCCCTCAGGGGACATGTGGAACATCAAGAGAGGAACCGTTATCTCAAGTATCTGTGTTGTTGCCATCGCATTTAAGCTCAGACCGAAGACAATGGTGGGTGGTGGTGGTTTGGTCTCACCCCACCACGCCCAACTTTGCTAGCCACACCGAGTCGGATGACATGTTCGTTCCTTTGTTTCTGGGATTTGCATGGAGGCGGAACTCCCTGCCACTCATTATCACATTGTCTCTATATATTCCCATGACTATGTTTGTTCTAGGCTTTTGTCGGATGTTATCTGAACCTCTGAGAAGCCCGAATCGATTCGTATGGTGTTGTGATAAACTGATGGAAAAGACGACGTGGTGTTGGGTCTTTATTCCGCCTTATGGAGAAATAAAAGAACCTGTGTCCAAGGAGGGCCATAGCGAATGGACAGCTCCCCTCCACAAAAACGGACTGAAATTCTTTTTTTGACTCAGATGGTGTGGAGAGACCATGTGGCCTCTATTTTGATGCTGGGTTTCTTTTTGGACTCTGAGATGAACACTACTTGAACAATAGGATGAAAAATCTGTAAATAATTAAGCTTTGGGCTTTCTTTCAAGGTTTAAGCAACCGAAATGGATTTTTCTCATTGTAACATATTAATACTTCCTTTGCGGTGATTTCTAGTGCAGAATACTGTAAATGCTAGTTACAGTACATGTGTGAGATATGACATTAAAGCAGTGTCATGCCATCAGGGCCTTCAACGCCTTCTCCGCAGGTCCAAAGACGATGAGATGGACAGGCCGACATTTACAACTTCATCCATGCATCCATTTTCTGATCCGCTTTATCCTCACAAGGGTCGCGGGGCGTGCTGGAGCCTATCCCAGCTGTCTTCGCGTAGTCGGCGGGGGACATCCTGAACCGGTTGCCAGCTAATCGCAGGGCACACATAGATGAAAAAACATCCACGCTCACGCTCACACCTCAGGACAATTTGGAGTGTTCAATCAGCCTGCCATGCATATTTTGGGAATGTGGGAGGACACCGCAGTACCCAGAGTAAACCCACACAGCCACGGGGAGAATATGCAAACTCCACAGCTGGAATCGAACTCGGTACCTCTGCACTGTGAAGCCAACGAGCTGACCCCTTGTCCACCGGGCCGCCATTTCCAATTTCATTCATTCATTCATTCATTTTCCGAACCGCTTGATCCTCACTAGGGTCGCGGGGGGTGCTGGAGCCTATCCCAGCCGTCTTCGGGCAGTAGGCGGGGGACACCCTGAACTGGTTGCCAGCCAATCGCAGGGCACACAGAGACGAACAACCATCCACGCCCACATTCACACCTAGGGACAATTTAGAGTGTTCAATCAGCCTACCATGCATGTTTTTGGAATGTGGGAGGAAACCGGAGTACCCGGAGAAAACCCACGCAGGCCCGGGGAGAACATGCAAACTCCACACAGGGAGGCCGGAGCTGGATTCGAACCCGGCACCTCTGCACTGTGAAGTCGACGTGCTAACCACTGGACTACCGGGCCGCCCCTTTCCAATTTCAATGAAGTGGAAATAATTGATTTCTAACAGACTTTTGTCTTGATTTCATAGCTTACGTCTTGGTTGCACAGCTGCCTGTCATTTGCAAGTTTATTTATTTATTTATTTTTGGGTCCAAGTCGTTCTCAGCTTCGATGTGTTGCCACGCACAGAACTTTGGGTGCAGGCGTCAACCCCACACAAACCATTGAAATCGCTGGCTCTTCTTTTAGCCAATCAGATTGTATAGATTTCCCTGCAGAAAGCCATCCCCCAGGCCTTGTGATGAGTTACTTTATTTGTCCTCCCATTGGTTCAGCTACGATCGTTTCTGATTGGTTCAGCCCTATGTGATTTACGATCGAGGAGATTTCGAGACTTCACATTCATGCTCGTACTCACTCCTTTTTTGACAGTACCTTGTTTTGTAGTTATTTTGGTTTTCCAATTATGGTATTTGTGTGTAGGTTTTGTGTGTTTGGGCCTTTGCCATTTCGGTTTTTTGTGTTTTCGGGTGTCCATTTTACCTTGCCGTTTGCAAGCGCTTTATGTTCATGTTTGGTTTTCCTGGCTCTTTGTCGCCAGCAATTTCTGTTTTCACTTTGTCGGTCTTTCGTTTTTCGATATTTTTGTTTCGTAGTTTGTCTGAGTCCGCATTTGTGGGATCCGCACAACATCTGGTTTGTTTCTGAACCTTGTCACCTACTTGGCCAATCCATGGTTTGGGCTTCTATGTGCAGTGATCACTTTGTAAGCTAAACCTGTTTACCTTAAAAATTTGAGTAGTAAGAGATTCTTTCATACAACAATAAAAAAAAAACTAAATAATACTGAACTGCAAACGAAATATGTTTTGAATTCATGAGCAGGCTAGCCAGCTTGTACAAGCTTGTTTCCAGTTAAGAAATTACCATAGACTTCCATGAACCCTAGTACCAGCGATACGTGTATTATACAAGGCCTGTGTAACCTTGATTAATAAAAGTTCTCTGCTACCGAAAGCTTTCCAGCAGTTCTTACAGGAAATGCCACCAGAATGAGTCAAATGCTTTTTCCACATCGATTCCGAAACACGATTGCCTCAGTCTGATCTTTTTTTTTTTTTTTAATTACATGGTGCAGCACGTGGAGAGTGTGCCTGATATTGTCCTGCATCTGTCTACGTTTTATAAAACCCCTCTGGTCCTATTAGATCATGCCTGGAAACATTATATCTAGACGTCTGGCTAGAATGGCTGTGAACAATCTATAATCTTGGTTAAGAACAATGATAGGCCTATAACCGGAGCATTCCTTTTCATCTTTTCCCTCCTTCAGGATTACAGAGATAGTGGCTTCTCTTCATGAGAAAGGAATTTCTCCCTTCTTCAACACCCAGTTAAAAATGCTTTGTGTAAAAGTTGTATCACTGTTACCCTTAGTGATTT